AAAAAAAAAAAAAAAAAAAAACACACAAACAATACAAAACAAAAGTTGCAGTCCAATCGTGCAAAATTTGCTTTTCTCTGGATAAAGCACTTCTTGACAGGTTTACAATGGCCCCAGCCCCCTCCCAAGTCCTCCCATCCACCCAAGAAAAAAATACAAAACGACAGTGAAGCCATTCTTTCTTGTAAGTCTCTACAGACACACAGAGAACCCATGTCAAGGACTTTCCAGCAGGTAGTTCTTTGCTTGGCTCTTGCTCTGAGAGCACCCTGGAGTCCCTCCTGGGATCCTGGGCTATCTTGCCATTGGGACAGTGACACAAGATACAAACAAAAAAAGAGAAGTCAATGGTCCCAACAATAGAATCTGATATTGACTTTACAATCACAGGTACAAATTGCTCAAATTGATCATTTCATTTCTCCTTAAGACCTTGTCTTCTAACACTAATTAGAGGCCAGGATCCCAAGGAATTGTCAGTATTCAAAGAAAATACTGGAGATTTAGAAGGAAATCATTCTTCTACTGCAACAGCCTGATGGAAGTTGGAACCAGGATGTCTGTCTCTGGCAAGTTCAGGGTATATTGAAGGGTGGGTTCCTGGGGTCCAGATTGCAACTTCCCCATTGTCCAGAGGGCTCTGTGTCTATAAAGGAAAAACCAAGAAGCCCGAGAATGTAGAGTATTTCCAGCCCCCCATGAGGTTGCCCCTCTCCAGTTTGAGATGCACTTTATCTTCCCTTTCCATGAGCAGCAGGACACCATTGCTGGCGGCTTCTCTGGTAACATCCTGGTCCCCCGCAAATGCGGAGATCACTGGGTAGCCGTTTTGCATTAAACTGACCTGAAATGCAAAGGGGAAAGCTCAGCAGACAATAAAGGACCCCACACCCACCAGCTCTTCCCTCCTCCTCTAACAACCCTAACCCCACCCCTCTGCTTTTCCCTTAAAGCCCATGCTAGGGGTCGGACAAAAAGAACTCTTGGCTGCCTAAGAGCCAAAGAGCCCTGGAAAGCCCAGCTCCTGGCTTCTCAGCCTCACAGACCAAGCAAATGGGGCTTCCGCAGTGGGAGATCTGAAAAGGCCCAGTTTTCAAAGCTACCCACCTGGATGGTTTGTCTGTTATATACTTTGACCACGTGGAAGCTGAAGCTATAGATCCCTTTTCGTGGAGCTACAAATATACTGGAGGCAAGATCAAAATGGTTGCCAATATTTACTAATACCTGAAAAAGAAGAGGGGATACAATACTAATACAGTAAGCCCTGCTCGGCCTAGATTTTAATCAATCTCAGATAATCACTGGCAACAGTTTCTTTATTAGTTCAGAGCAGCTTGCACCACCAAGTCAGCCTTCCAAGCATTCCCAGGAAGGAGGAAGCACTGAAGTTAAATTGTCATACGGCAAGAATGGATTTCACATTTCTAATTTGGGATTCCTAAATTTCTAATGGGTTGTAATTCATAAAGACTTCTAAAGCATATTTTATTTACACATTCAGAGACTAGGTATGAATTTTCTGTGTTGGGGGTCAGGGTATTAAAAAAGGAACAGGAGACAGGAAACTCAGTAAACAAATCTGTTTCTGAAGTCTGTGGATTGCAGGGACTTCATCGTGATTCTCTAATTAACAAACACAGTTCTAAACCGAATGGAGGCAGAAAGGTCCGAGGTTCAAAAGGCAGTTTAAAGAGGTCGCTTCTGAAAGACCAAGCCCAGGGCCTAACTTTGCATACTCCAGGAAATAACAGCCTCTGTGACATTTTTTTTCTCCACTGCATCTGAGTCCCTAGCAATAATAAATAGCAGGTGCTCAATAATGGATGGTGAGTGGAAATGTTTTATCGATAAACACTGACTGCTTTGGTTTCTCCTCTTTTTTCTATAGGAAGTGTATCTTCTCCCTAAACTTAGGTATGGTGGCATGCAAACAAGCTTGAATAAATACAGATAATTGAAATGGTACATTAGATATCATCAGCTCCAACTAAAGGGATTCCACCACATGCAAGAATAAAGACAGACTGAGCCACCTGACAGGGGATCACATGACCTGCTGATGGGTTTCCTCCAACAATAGAGGGATTGCAGTATGATAATGCTATCAGCAGAACTCGAAGAATGGTAAGTTCCTCTATATGAGACAAATCCATCTCAGATGTTCTGGACAGAATCTGGCCCCCTGTTCTGGATCCTGTCCCTACTCCTCCTCATATATAAATCAAATTCAATTGAAATAAGGAAATGGCCCAGTGGTGTTCTTGGCTTTTCAAAACAAGCAGCCAGCAACAACATCAAAACCCTGTATTTGAGTTCTTGTCATCTGCTCATAAAATAAACAAACCAGATACCTTTTACTGTTACTTTTTAAGTGGTCCTTATAAATGAATAATATGCAACTCCCAAAGGGACATAAGCCTGAACTGTTGCCCACACGACTGTAGATATGACTGGTGGAATACACAGGTTCCTATAGCCTGGACCAGACTTGTCTGTGAGCACCACTTGAGCCCCTCAAAGGGCAGGTCTTCTGCAAACATTTGGGACCCTATTATTGGAGACAAAGCGCTTTCAGGATGCCCTTTCTCAGTCTCTGAATGCTATGCTATTGCCTCCCTCACAATGCTTTAGAAAAGAATAAAGGATTCTCTACTTAAGCTCTTAGAGCTGCTGCTGCTCCCTTCACCTCAACTCCACCTCAATTTTAAATTCTAGAAGCTGGTAAATTCAGAGCCTTGTTACAGATGGAAGAACACCAAGCCAGCCCCTGAAAAGTGGGTCTCAGACACTCCCTAACTGGGAGCCAGGCAGACACTGTTTAATCTACCCTGCCACAATTTGCTAATCTATAAAATTAGAATTCTATTTCTATGCATCCTGCTCTTCATCAGAGCTTTCTTGACATCTAGCCAAAATGTAGATGTGAAAGTGTTGGTGAACACTGTTCATTAGTCATTGGTAAGTAAAATATAACAACATTATAATAATGGTCCACCAAAAAAGAACTTACTAATAGAATATATAAATCACAAATACCTGTTTCATTATTGATTTCATTAGGGAATAATTAGAAAAGTATTTTATGTCTTGTAAATAAAAACATACTGAAGAAAAAGACCACCCCCCCACACACAAACAAATGAAACTCATCAAGTAGATGATCCTTAACAAGGATTTTTAAAAACTGAAGACACTGGCCTAGAACAAGACAAGAGTGTGTCTGAAGGCCCTAGTGCTGTTTAGCATTAAGTGCTGGTTAGCACAGAAGGCGAAGACAGTGAGGAACAATCGGTAAGACCACAGAGACTGTCTGCGGCCACCCAGGACTCCATTTTGGAGGAAGCACTTTGTCAAAAGGATTAGCTGATCTGCCGAGGTCTGGAATCATTGTTTTCAAATTGTTTCTAAAAGAAATAATAAAAACCAAGTTTGGGAGAGGTGCATTGAGATAGGTTATGACCTTCAAACCCAGAGAACCAATAATCCTGAGAAAAGAATTGCAAAGGCTTGACCAGGGCTCTGACTTCTGCTTTCAACCAAGTGGCAGAAGTTAACTAGCTTAAAGTGACTTCAGTCACTGCTCTTTAATTATATAGCTACACTAGAAACTCATATAGACTGCATGTACACATTATATTTCATTTATTATACACTGTATTTATATGCCCACTCTGCTATTTTCTCTACACTGTTCTCCATTTATTCTTCTCTAAAACATTTCTGCCTCAGTACATCCTTCAAAGTGAGCAATCATTCTGCACTGTCAGCATCTCCATTGGGCCCTTTGGAGGCCCCTGTTTTGGATCATTGTACAATGGCTACGTCCTTACTTTGGCCCCCTGGGTGATTGCAGATCACCAACAACAGACATTCCCTGTCACCATCCCTCCAGCGGAAAGAAAATGTGCGGTTTCCTTTAGGGAAATATATTTCAACTCTCAGATTTACAGTGTATTTAGAAAGTTTAGGACTCCCAATAAAGCCGAGAGCCAAGGGCTGATACATTAAAGATTTAAAACAGGGGAAATAGGAGGAAAGCATAGTAGGAAAAAGATGTACAAAAGCACAGAGCAGAGCATAGAGGAGGAAGGAGTCCGATCTGTTGGTGAAAGAAGCGGGAGACCAACTGGAACGCTAGGCCCGCCCCTCCTCCCAGGGCTGCAGGGAAAGCTGACCCACTGACCTGGTCGAAGTAGATGGTCATGGTGCGGTTGCTCATCTCCGAGGGCTCGTGGTTGGTGCTGCGCGTGGCGGAGAAGGCCACCTTGGCGCTACCAGAGCGAACGGAGATGCCCAGGGAAGACGTGACCGCGCCGTCCGCCGAGGGGCTTGAGTCACACACCACCAGGCACTTGCCCTCCAGCACAATGGGCTCCGTGTCATTCTGCGCCCGCACGGGGTAACAGGCTGGCAGTAGCAGCAGTAGCAAGGCCAGCGATGCCCCCAAGCAGGAACTGCAGTCGGCTGGCTCTCTGAGCGCCCCCCGGCGCCGGGGCATGGTCAG